CGACAAGAAAGTTTTTGTCAACTTTCACTCCTGATGATTTCTTGCTTTGTTTCAATTGAAATCACCTTTCTGTTTTTTTAGAAGCCATGATGCATTATAAATGACTTAACTTGCCAGATTATATGATACGAATAATTCTTTATTAATTAAGATCACTAAACACTTCTACGAGCTACTCTCGCTCCGTTTGTTTTTTACAACCTCTTTTCGTCCCGCCACCTCGGCATCTACGCAATTACATTTCGTTTATTTGAATCGTCAACATATATTACATTACATTTAATGTTTATTTAAATCATCAACATATATTACATTACATTTCTACTTCTATATTTTCCTACGTGATTAACTAAGGCACACAATTTTAAATTTTATCAATAAAATTTGTATAAATTTATTTTCTTTACATTTTTCTACTCATTGTAATTTATTTCATACAGTAAATTTTTGTTGAGTATAACTAGTTTAACATAATTACTTTTGAAGAGTTAAGACTCTGATTTTAATCATATCTATGCTAATGAATCGAAATCGAAATATTATCAACATATGAAGTAACTTTGACATTTCGACAATTGTTAAGTCGCTTACACATGTATAAAATTGAAATATCTGATTAAATATTACATCAAAGTTTCCGAAAAAATTGAAGTTTAATTAATATTTTACCTTACCTTTTCATGTTATAAGCTTACTAGAAACCTTGAATTATAACAAAGGATTAAGTCATATATTTTCATAACACTAAATTTTATTCTTTACTAAACGCCTGTCGTGGATTTTTATTCGTAATTAGAATACCCTAACTACAAAGTACTGTTAAGAAACAGTGATACTTACTATAAAATAACGATATCTATTAAAAACAGTGATAAGTACAGTATTTTAAATAGTTATATAATATAAAATACCATTTCTGACAAAGGATATGACTCTCGTGAATTTTTAATAGGCAATATAAGGCTCCTATCGCGACAGGTTTGAATTTCCCTGTTATGTATTGTAAGGAATTACATAATATCTTGAAATCATGTTATTAATTATTACCGATTTAGTTTGTTTCAAGTCATCGATTTAATTTATAAATACGTATTACGTAAGAAAAATAAAATTTATTAATTACATATACAGTATATTGGATTTAAATCAAGATTTTTAATTATAAAATGAATTCACTTATAAAGTGTCGGATAATGATGATGGTGATGATGGAAAATCTTTCCAAGGCCACAATACTTGAACAGAAAAAAAAATCACATTTAGTTATAAAAAGTAATTTTATCATATTAATAACTTAAAATTAAAATAACACACACTTTTTGTTAATTAAATTAATTAGCTTAATTCAATTTTATTAAATAATTTTAATGAATTATAATTTTAAATTTAACAGACGTGATGAAAACGGTAAAAGTTACAAATTTTAAAACTAAATAAAGCACCAAAATAAAACCAATCTAAACGTCATAGATATATTTTCTAAGGATTATTATTAATATAATAAATTATCTAAAAATCTTAGTTATAAATGTATTAATTAAAATAAATTAAATTACCTTTCCCTCTTTGATTTCAGCACGAGAAATGCAAATCTAAAAGATAACATTAATTAATTTTATAAATTTATATAAAACACTTTAAAAGTTTAAATGAAATTCAGAATATTTAGATTAATTCAGTTTGGTAAAATAATTTTTTTAAACAAATTTTAGTACTTTATTGCTGGAACATAGAATATTTTGAAGTTTTTTACCTCAGTTATTTTAAATACTGTTTTAGTTTGTTTCAAGGCAATGTATGCTGCTGTTTGGTAACATTGTTTCACAGCATTATATACCTAAAATATAATATTTTGTTTTATTAAAATACAAAAATAAATGAAAAATTAAACTGAAATAAATGCAATAAATATAATAAATGTAAATACGTATAGTAAAACCTGTCAAAAACGGAAAACTTTCGGTATCGTGCGATTCCGGTTTCACAGGTTTTTACTGTAGCCTATACTGTATTTATAATACTACTTGTCTTATATATAGAGAAATGTATTGCTATTCGTTATATTGTATTGCACTAATTTGTTATAGATTTTATTATTTTATAAGAAAAATTATTTACTTCGTGATCGAGTTTACAAAGTCTTTCGATTTTCTCATCCAGCGTTAAATGTTTTCCATCTGAATTAAGTGAATCATAACAATTTTCAAATACGTCAAACGACTGAAAAATAATTAACTTTTCAGTTATTCAAAATGTAATCTCCACAAAAGTAAAGAAAAATAGTACCTATTTACCCTGGAAATATTACTTCTTCTTGCACATTTCACTATAGAATCTTTATCCTTTAATGCTAAAATTGATTATAATATATGTTCATTATAAAAAGTTAATATAATCTTTCTTAAAATGAATTTGAACGCATTGAAATAGTTAACTTACCACAATAACGATCAAGAAAAAAAGGCGAGCAGTCTTGAGAACCTGAGACAAAATATAATTCTAAGCAGCAAGGAAGAAATACATTTAATATAATGACCAAATAATTCATTTCAATATAAATATTTGTTCTCTACGAACAACTACTTCATACGATTACACTAGAAATTTGATTTCTTAATATTTTCTTCCTTTACTTAGGCTATATATAAAAGAAAATAGGTTAATTAAAATAAAATATTCATTGATAATTATATTTTTGTTAACTAATGTAAATATAATTTTCCAAAGATTGGCCTATATATTAAATAATGTTAATGTAAATTAAAAAAAAAAAATACATTTCTTATTATTTTCCTGGCTGTTATATATAACAAAGGGAAAGTATGGCGATCGGTAAAAAATAATCCCTCAAGACTTTTATATTTTTGGACTTAGGACACCTTGAAACGTCGAGAAATGCAAAAACATATTGGAATAACCTCTGTATGTATGAATGTTAGTGAGTGTGTGTGGGGGATGCACGATTTTGTTCACCTTCTTTCAAGTTTAATGACTCTTGTGCTTTTTGTCGCAAATTTCTGAAATTTTTCAGGGAGGTTTGTTTATTAGTGGGATTGATGCTATTAAATTTTGGTGGTTAAAGTTCGAGAGGATAAGCAGATAATGGGGGTCGTGTGTATTTCCAGTAGGGTCGGACTTGATGATGATTTTATTCGTTAATACCATTTACAATTTTCTATAAAACTCATTCCTACCCTTAAAGTTAATCTTTTTGACATTTTGTAACAGTTAAAAATATAACAAGTGTTTTTAATAAAATATGATAACAGATATTTTAAATGTTGCCGGGAAAGTTGAGTAACTAGTTGCTGGTTTATTTTTTATATTCGTTAAAATTTATATTATACCGATATGGTTTTAAGATATTGTTCAAAATTATTGTCTATTAACAGCAAACGATTCTTTTCGTTTTTACAATTTCAATATTTCTTTTGAATAAAGGTTTAAATAAATTTTTAAGATTATTAACTTCGTTCATTATAAAACGAAGTTAATAATCTTAAATATTCATTTAAACCTTTTAAACCTTACTAACTTCGTTTTATAATAAATGTCACGACTCGTATTATTTATTTGTGGTAGGTATAAAGTAATAAATAATGATTGGTTTTGTTTTTAGAATTCCAAACGAATTCAATACCGATATTTTCCTGGAGGAAAATTTAAGAATGAATTGTAATGATTTAAAGATTTGCAAAGCTGATAAATAGTTGATAAAAACTTTTTTATCCTTTCGAATTATTATGAAATTACAACATTCGATAGCTCTTTTTACAATACTTAAAGCGAAACGGGAGAAAAACCGAATGTTCTTCCATTTCTTATATTCGAACAAAAAAATGGATTAGTCATTTATTTAAACACATTATATAAAAGTAAATTTATTCTACCTCTTCAGACCACTATGTCATATTGCTTTTTATCTTATTAAATTAGCCTTGTTATAGCACGATAAATAACGTTTAACAATATACTTTTATAAATCAACTTTGAAAAGATTTACAATATGAACATTTGGTAATTTCGTTTAATTCATATGTCGTTATTTTGATTTTAAGTTATTCAAGTTATAATATTTTTTATTAAATGTTTAAAATTTTGATAAAAGTTTTACCTGTAATATTTCTGGAGATTTTCAAATTTGAAATCACAAAATATTAATTAATATTCACTGAAAGTAGTTAAATACCCCTGGGTAATATTTGTATTTGAGCAAATAAAACACCAAGTAACAGGTTTACAAAAATAAACTTTTAATGCAATAAACTCATAAATTAAACCGGTACTTGTCTGCTATCTTCTCTCATATCGCGTGGCGCATTGCATTGCAATTTCACATAGTGCAGGCGCATGCGAACGATATCTTGGCTTCAAAATATCGTTTGTGTGTAAGTACGTACGTCTGTAAGTACGTACTTACACAATGTAACGTACTAATGTACAAGTAGTATGCGTTTGATACATTCTGAAGTACAAAAATTAATTAGTATATATAACACATTTTTTCAAAAAAAAATTTTTTTTTATAAAATTTTTTTTTGAAAAAATGTGTTATATATACTAATTAATTTTTGTACTTCAGAATGTATCAAACGCATACTACTTGTACAAACGTACTAATGTAAGTACGTTTGTGTGTGTTTGTACGTAAGCGTCGCACTCTGTCGCATCAGATACTAAACGACGTAGACGAATTTGATGGATGACATAATTAAATATCGCGCAAATCGAATATATAATTAAGTTATATTTCGGTGGCGGTTCTACAATGATGTAAATTGGTTATACAACATGGGGATCCAGTTTGCAGGAGCCTGAATGTGTGAAGCAAAAGCCTACGACCCATGATCCATCCCTGAATGATGAGAATTATCCGTGATCATGGATAAATCTGTTTTTAGTCGTGGGCTTCGGAGGTTTTTGAAGCTGCTGATCCCATCCTTTACGGCTGGGGAGAAGGAAGGACATTACAGTTTCGAAACATGGTCCGAACTAAAGTCGTTTCGCCTATGATTAATTTGTTTCAATAACATTAAAGAATGTATTTTTAAATAATATGGTCAGAATTACTATATTGTAAGAAACCAAATATACAATATAGAAGGACTATGAACAAATATTCGAATGGTCTTCGATTTAAATAATGATATTTGTGTTGATTTGTCATTTTGCGGAGAATAGATTATTCATTCAATATTTGGAATTTGCTTACGTCTAAAATTCACGTTCTTTGTATTCTGCAGGAATATATTACATTCTGTAAACTTTAGATCATAAATTGAGATTGTATTTAGAGATAAAAATTCTAAAGTGGAGGTAACAAAAGAACAAATATAGATGCGATGTGGTGTATGGACAAATGCATGAAAGATTTATTTTGTAATTGCATTTAAATTTGTTATGTTGGATTAAAGAATTAATGCCCTTTAATTTAATGTAAGTTAAAATTATTACGTTTTGATATCAGACAAGTATTAAGCTTTAAAATAATATATGTATACAGTAATAATACATATAAATATTTAAAATGAATAAAAAGTAAGTATATTTCTGAAAATTTTTAAAAAGTTAAAATATAAAATACAGTCTCCGAACTAAAATACTCAATCGGCACCGATTCCGAGGTAACGAATTACGTCTTAAAACAGTTAACAATAAAAAGATGTTTATTTTACTTTTTTTCTTATCCTATTGAATAATTCACTATTAAATTTTAAATATAAATATTTGTCATAGTAAATAAAGTATTTGAATAACCTACAAAATTTTGTAAAATTAGCAAATTTTGAGTTTTTATTTTTGGAATTGAATATTATTCCGTATGTTACGTGGCGCGACTTACAGGAAGATAACAGACAAGACAAACGTCTAGAGCAAATGTTATAAATCCTAAACGTTACACAACTAAAAAAAAGCGATAAAAGATACAAACTGCTTATATATAGGCCTATATATATATATAGTGTATATTTATTTATCTTAATTACAATTGGAAAAGTCTAAGTAAGACAAAGAGACTTCCACCCCCGCGTAACAACAAACCCCGGGACAATAAAATAAAAACAAATAAAAAAGGATAAAGATAATGTACATTAAAAAAATTAAAAGTCATGAAGAATTTTTTTTGCAAATATTTTTAAAATGAGTAAAATTTTACGTAAATCAATAAGTTGTAACGCATGATAAAGCTATTTTATAATGCGGTATTTATATTATTTAATATACTTTATCATTATTATTTACCATAATAATAATAATAATATAGTAAAACTATTTGAAACGGTCCCTGAATAAAATAGAAACCTGCCTAAATGAAAAAAAATTCTTCGAATTTTTTTAAATGTTAAATTTCACCTTAAGCTGAAAACCTATCGAACTCGGAACCAAAAGATGATTTTGAACGAAACTTAAACTGGATAATGAGGAAAATTAAATTTTACTTGTAGACAAATAAGTAAAATCACGCTCAAGTATAATGCTCTTCGTAGAGTATGACAAACTGAATTCGGAAAATAATTTAAAATTTTGTCATCGAAACCAAGTAACTGAGAAGGGAACACAAGTTCTTTGTTAAGCTGCAATTTCAATAACTAGATCTATAAATTCCCACTGTCGTCCGTTGTCTGTCCTTTCTTAATCTCGAGAACGGAGTTAGGTACATGAAAGATGAGATTAAGTATGGAAAGAATAAGAACAGGAGGCCACTATTAACTATACAAAAACTTCCCAATGCAAACTGAAAGTCACGTTATTTCAATTCAAAACTTTCCCTGAAAGCAGTTAATAGAAGACCGGCACGACTCTATGGTTAAAGGAAAAGTATGATGTACAGGGGCAAGCTACTAATTTGAAGTGGCGAGTATATATTTTAAATTAAATAAATTAAAAATATAATTAAAAATTGCAGTCCAGCCTTGTGATGATGCCACAATAAATAATTGTTTGTTAATATTAGTCTATTAGAATTTTCAGAGGGTGGATCGAATAGTTTGAAGAATCGATATTTAATAGTTTGTAAGATACTGTATCAGAAATAAATAAAACAAAATTAATAACCTTAAAAATTCATTTAAAACTTTATTAAAGATAAATATTTAGAGAACTATTCATTGTTAATGAACAATAATTTTGAACAATATCTTAAAATCATATAATATAAATCTTAAATTAATATAAAAAATAAGAAAATTATATTTTTTCCTGTTTAATTT